GCCAAGCCGCGATTTCCTAAAGCCACGTCGCCTTCCCTGTCACCAGCACCCGCCGCTCCCCCATCCCCTCCTGGGGCCACTCACTCACATCCTCTCATCCGCGTCTCCCCCTCGGCCAAGTTTTCCGGAAACATGGGGCAGGGAGGATGCTCCGGGGAGCGGAGCTAGGAGAGGCGGTTGGGGAGGCCGGCGGCCGCGGCGGCTCTGCGAGGCTCCTGCCTGGCGGCTGCTGGCGGCTCAGCTCTGCCTCACATCCTTCTCCGTCCAACGGCGGCGGCGAGGGAGGGAGGGAGGGAAGGAGGGAGGGCTGGCGGGCGGAGGCTGGCTGGAGAAGGGCGGGGAGGCGGCTCTGTGCGCCGCCTGCCCTGGTGGCCCAGGGCTCCTCCAGGGGCCGCTGCCACCCCCGGCTGCCCCGGGGCGGAGAGGTGCCCTTCCCCGAGGGGGGCGGGCAGCGGGAAGTTGCCAGTTGTGCGCGGGTGCCTCTGTGCCAGGCGTCGCCAGGGTGCAGCGGCCACGGCTCCCAGGTACCCGTGTGCCCAAGTGGTGCCAGGCAGGACCCTCCAGACCCCCGAGCTGGGCGAAATCCGGAGACCCAGGCCTGACAGGGCAGCGGTGCCCCCAGCAGCCTGGCTGCACCCCCGGGCGGGGCTCCGATCCTCCTGCTGCCTGACCCAGCAAGCCGCGTCAGGACTGAATGTGACCTCCAGACGGAGGCTCTCGGGAGCGGGCGGGCGGGCGGGGGAGCATGGCAGAGGCCCAGGTTCAGAAGGGGCGGGCCAACTTGGCACTGGCTCCCTCCCTCTCTCCCCATCCCTAGCGGTGGCGGCGTCAGCAGCGGCAAGAACAGATGAGGGTTCCAGAAAAACAGAGCTTCTCCACCCCCGGCAGACGGGGAGCAAACAGCTTCTTCCGCTGTCATCTCTCCGTGCCAGTTCCACCTGCGGTCTGCCCCCCGCCCGGCCTGCTGCTGCCAAGGGCGGCCGGGCCCTCCGTGGGGGACTGTGGGTGGGCAGGGCCGGCTTCGCATTCTGGGGGAAGCTAGGATTGGAAGAGCCTCTTGCGAGAGCTAACGACGTCTCCGACCATTTAGGCTGGGGGGAAGGGCTTGGGGTCCCCCAAGGGTTCCCTGGTGCCGGAGGGTCTGGGGACACCAGCACCTCTCTCCTAGCTCTCTGAGACCCCCCAACAGCCCCATCAGCCTGCTGCCTGAGGACACCTGCGGAAGCACCCAGGCGGCTCCCGGAGGTTGAAAGTTAACTGAGCTGAACTTTGGAGCCCAGATTCAGGCCCGGACTGATTTCCCCGACTCCGGGATCACTAACCTGCTCTTCCCTTCAGCCCTCAGCTTCGCTCTCCCGCCCGTGAAAACCTGGGAGGCAAAAGGCATCCCGTGGCACGACGCCAGGGGAGGGCAACCAGGGATCTAGCTTTTTCCACCTGAGTCCCACACGGGAGGTCGGAGTGAGTTTTTAAGGATGCCAATCCGATCAAGTCACTTCTCTGCTTAAATCTTCCAGTGACCACCAGAAGCTCTTGGGATAAAATCCAAAGGCCTCAGCTGGCCCAGGATGCCCTGGGGAGCTGGCGCCGCCCACCTGTCCGGCCCCTCCTCCGCTCACTCCAGGCAGCCATTTCACTGTGAGCCCCAGGACATTTGCACAAGCTCTTCTTTCTCACACATGAGCCTCAAGTGGCACCTCAGGGAAGCCCTCTTTGACCCCCACCCCCTCCAAAGTGGAGGCTGGAGGGTGCCCTGGACACCCGGGAGCACATCCCACACACGCTCTGGGCTGGCCCAGACAGCAGATTCTGCCAACACACCCTGCGGTCCGGATTCCCTGACCCCACTTCTGATTTCTAAGGAAGGAGTTTTGTTCTGAAGAGTTAGGAGGCAGGAACTAGGAAGTGAAATTGACCAAGACAGGAAGTTAAGCCAGGAGGTCTGAGTCAGGGTCTGGAGTGGGAACCCTGCGAGGGAGCCGGGCGGCCGCAGGGAGGGGGCGCAGAGGGGTGTCTCTACTGCTGGCTGCTCTGGGCACCCCTGGAGCAGCTCCCTGTGCACCATCCGGGGGCCCGGGACACGGCCCCCTGGCTCAAGCGCACCAGACCCCAGAGGGGCCTGTGCCCCTGCCCCGGATCCTTCCCCGAGCTGCCGTCCCCCGTGGGTGCGCAGACCTGTCCTGGCAGCCGGCGCTTGCGGGCACCACCACCCACCTGCGTCCGGGGACGCCGCAGCCGTTCGCTCTGGAGACCCGCCCCCCACCCCGGAAGGACACTAGCCCTCTCCACTCCAGCCAGCTGCATCCAACCCTGAGGTTTCCGGCTCCTTCCAGGGAGAACCCCAGGCTGCCTGAGTGGGGTGCACGTCCCCCGCCGCCCCTCCCCCACCAGCTGCCGTTTTCCCAGAGAAACTCGAGATTTCCTGCCCAAACTACTATCAAAGGGGGGGAAAACATCCAGCCCTCTTAGGCCCGAGTCCTGCCACTTCCTCAATTTGGAAACCCCAAGCCCTGGGGTGGTTCCACAGGCTGCCTTGCGGGCACCTGCTGGGTCCCGCGTCAGGGCTACCAGACTGCTGCCGTCC